CGACTCTCTATGTCAGTGACCACCGAGGTGTCCTGGTCTCTCTCCATGCGCGACTTCCTTTTGGCAACGGCAGCTTTCAAAGCCTCCTGGTTCAACTCATGAACTGATTTGTCTGAAATTAAAAGAAAAAGGAATTCCTAAATGCTAAATCCTGTCCTGTCTACGTGAAAGACAAATGTCAGCAAACAAGTCTATGAGTCTTACACAAATTAACAACATGCACAACAACAAAATGAGAAAATGCACCTAAATAAAACTCCTTATTACAAGATCTAGTTGTGATATGGTGGGCTGCAAAGACAGAAAATATCTAGTTTTTTAAAAATCCAGAAAAAGGACACTTGGACAATAAAGAGAGCCTGGGACAATGTAACTGGCTCTACAATCCTACACAGTAGCATCACCCTTCTGGCTTTGTCTATTCCCTGAACTCTCTCTCTCTCTCTCTCTCTCTCACACACACACACACACACACACACACACACACACACACACCTACACAGTAGCATCACCCTTCTGGCTTTGTCTATTCCCTGAACTCTCTCTCACACACACACACACACACACCTACACAGTACCATCCTTGTTCCTTTGTCTATTCCCTGAACTCTCTCTCTCTCTCTCTCTCACACACACACACACACACCTACACAGTACCATCCTTGTTCCTTTGTCTATTCCCTGAACTCTCTCTCTCTCTCTCTCTCACACACACACACACACACCTACACAGTACCATCCTTGTTCCTTTGTCTATTCCCTGAACTCTCACACATACATACCTACACACTGACCAGTACACATGTGTTGTCATACACACAAGTAAGTAGACATGTTGTGACGTACAGGCACTAGCTGCTCGTCAATATTTGGCCATATTGAGTTGTTAGATCTGGTCTCATTCTAAAGCTTGTTCATTTGTCTTGCTTCCACTTCCAATGAAAAAAATTATCCATCTATTTTCAATAAAAGTGGAGACATTTTGGATTGAAGGAATTGGGGGTCACCAGGTTTCCGAGGTAAAACTAGCGAGAAAATGAGTGCCAAAGTTTGGTAACTTACAAAGCTGGAGAGTCCATGGAAACTGTACGTTTACACTTTTGGGACTTTGATCAACGTTTTTCAGTAAAATTCTCACAGGAATTTGAGTCTAATTGGACATAAGCGAAGAGTCAAAAAATAGAAATTTGATAAAAATTGCTAAGCAGGAAAAAAACTGCTGTGTTCTTAGATTTCCCCACGATCTATCACACAGACTATATGCACACTCCGTGATTTCCCCACGATCCCTCCCATAGACTATATGCACACTCCGTGATTTCCCCACAATCCCTCCCATAGACTATATGCACGCTCCGTGATTTCCCCACGATCCCTCACACAGACTATATGCACACTCCGTGATTTCCCCACGATCCCTCACACAGACTATATGCACACTCCGTGATTTCCCCACCATCCCTCACACAGACTATATGCACACTCCGTGATTTCCCCACCATCCCTCACACAGACTATATGCACACTCCGTGATTTCACCACCATCCCTCACATAGACTATATGCACACTCCGTGATTTCCATAAAGACACTTCCAGCCAGACTGGCGCCTACAGCCACTTGTTACATGACCTAAATTGTGTTGACTGGGCCGTAAATACACCCACACAAAGAACAATGTAATGAGGAAACAAAACAATGACATCATTGCACGTAGATCGTCTGAGTGATTGCCCATTCCACTTACTGGTGGGGAGAGAAGGTTTGACCTCCGACACCCGCGGCCCCTCTGCCTGAAGGCGAGCCCTCCGCTCTGCGACGGCGGCCATGATGTCGTCTGACGACACGAGGTTCGGGACAACCGGGGCCGCTGACTGCTGGCGACGAAGTGTGGAGTCGCTGCTGCCTGCCACTGGCATTACAGGAGGGGGGAGGGGGGGAGGGGGAGGCGGGGCCATGGGTGGGGGAGGGGGCGGGGCTACTGGTGGGGGAGGCGGGGCATATGTCGAGACCTCTGACTCAGGCTCCGGTGACTTGGGCACAGAGCTGGTCATGGCTGTAGCAACCATGAGGCCCGGCCTTGACCTGTGTGCCTCAGTGCTGCTGTCTGCGTGGACTGACGACCTGCGAGAGTTGTCTACACTAGAGGACTGAGGCAGAGAGGCCAGGGCCACGCCCGACGACCTGCGAGAACTTGCCGCACTCTGAGAAGGGGAAGTCAGCGTGACCTGATCCTGTCCGTTAGACGTGGCGGACTTGACGCCGTGACCAGTCTGCGTGGAGGACAGTGCCGGACTCACCATTGCCCCTGACGACTTTGGCTTGTCGTTGCTGCTGATGGAAATAACCGTCACGGCAGCTTTGGTCTGTGCCGGGGCGTTGGTGGTACCAGCGACGTGACCTTTGCGAAGTGTGCTGACCTTGTGACCTCCGTCATCGTCACTGTCCTCGTAGTCTGGCTCCGGTTCATAGACCGCCTTCTCTGGGCTACCAGCTCCCTTCTGTTCCGATGGAGCTTTGTCCGAGTGTATGTCGGCAGTCACCAAAAGAGTGGCATTTGGATGTTTTTTGATAAACTTTTGGGCATTTTCCATGACACGGTCATCAGCAAAGGACACTCGGTCGTCCTTCGGGGACATGCGGTTGGTCGTTTTCTTCAGGATAGTTTGGTCAGAAGGGGGGGCCCCTGCCTTGGGGGGGCTGTCGATCATTTTGGCGTTGAGGCCTGGCCGGAAACTGGACTCATAGGACGACTCATTCTTCAGTCGTTTCTGCACGTCCGCCGAGACGTTGGCGTAGGTGCTGTTGCTCTTGCTGGCCGTGTTGATGCGCACCACCTCGGGTGTCGTGGGGGCACCGGGGGCCGTCTGCCGATTCACCGGAGCTCTGTCGGGGAGTTCAGGGGTCGTTGGGACACTTGCCGAGCCACGCTGAAACAATGAAGAGTCTTTCGTAAAGGGCTTTGATACAGATCAATAAAGGTTCAGTCAAAACAAACAAGAAACAATATATGATAATTATAATGCTACAAGTTAAACAGTAGTCTTCAGGAAACGGTCAAAAACAAATGGATACTTTTGTCTATTCAATGATTAACTGGTTCTGTATTTTCATTCAAAATTTCGTCCACAAAAAGATTGAGAGAAATGGAAACCTGTGTCAGACTTTTCCACACAACACGTGGCACAAACTGTCTGCTGTACCTGGTAGTGGCCGGCGCTGACCGCGGCCTTCACCTGCCCCATGCTGTGTGTCGGTGACACGTGTAGAGCCCCCGTGTACTGCCCCGTGTGGGGGGGTGGGGGCGGGGGGCGGCTCTTGCTCCAACTACCGCCCAGCTTCCCTCCGGTCCCTGCCCCGGTCTCGATGCCGCCAGACGCCTGCAGCTCGGCCAACATGTCTGGTGTGCTCTTTGACCTCTCCATGGTCTGTGGACACGCCGCAGTAACATCAAGGTCATTACAGGAACGTGACACGTGTCATGTAACATCAAGGTCATTACAGGAACGTGACACGTGTCATGTAACATCAAGGTCATTACAGGAACGTGACACGCCGCAGTAACATCAAGGTCATTACAGGAACGTGACATCACAGGTCGGGCTATATATACAGTGAGTGACTGAGATGTAACAGAGAGATGTAACAGAGAGATGTAACAGAGAGATGTAACAGAGAGATGTAACAGTGAGATGTAACAGTGAGATGTAACAGTAATACAAGTCACAGTTGGTACAAAGCAACGTAACCTCAATATAGCAGCCAGAGACATT